ATATGAATACCTTTCTCTTATAATATCAATTTTTTAATCATTACAACAAATAGATATAGACGATATGATTTTAATTTATTTTGTCTTTTTAACAAAAACTAGATTCTTTGATTAGAATTTTAAATTTAAAATCTTATCAAGATGATATTTGCTTTTTTTTCTCTTTTTGTCTTGTCGAATTCAGTATTTTTTATAATAATTATATATTCATGCTGAGTATACATAAAACATGTTAAATGTGTTTTTTATTATGTTTTCTTTCTAATACATATTCAAAACACAATTCATTTGTACATTACTCACGTAGTGAAATTATCGTTAAACGTATATATGTATTTTGTTCTTCCACACACTGCGAATAATTTAAACAAACTATTTCACCTCGATTTTTTTTGTTATAAATTATGAATCATGAAATAATGTATTCTATTTTTACTTTTCGAAAAAAGACAAAGAAAAAGAAGTTTAATGTGTACTTTTGTCAATATAATTGTTTATATTTGTGCGTAAATCGATACAAAAATATACTATCATTAACATACCTGTTTGAACCCTATGCTTCGTTTTTTTTTAATCTATTTTTAGAAAGCTAATACAACGCATATATCGGATATTAATAATACACCCATTTCTAATGCGAATCTTAATATGAGTGATAAAAATTATGATCCATCTTCTATATCAACAAAAATAAGTACAAAATCAAGTGATGTACAATCAATAGATAAGTCATCGTTTGATAAAGTTCAAAATGAGTCATTAGCAGACACTTCAAAATCAACTATCATAACAAATAATTCTAAACATTTACCATCAACATTAAATAATATATACGTTGGTGAAATTTTATTAACCGATAAAAATGAAGAACAACATCTTCATTCAACAATACCATGTTCATCATCGAAACTTGATCATGCTACTAAAAATGTAGCAATAACAAATAAAGAACAAGCAAAATTAGATTTAGATAAAAAAACACATGTATTATCTATGGATAATGATAATAAAAAACCAACAAAACATTTAAATCCTAATGCACCAGATTTTAAACCAACTCATTTAACATCAATATATCGTTCAGAATTAGCACCTACACATTTACAACGACATACAACAAATTCAAATTCTCGTAATAAACGTCATGAACGTATACGTTATTATTCAGATACATATCATTATCCGGAACCTTTAACAACTTCATCAAATACATCACCTATACAACCATTATTATCAATTGTACCACAATATACTCCATATCCTCGACAATCATTAAGTGCAATAACACTATTATCATCATCATCATCAACAAATTCATGGTGGCCACAAGAATACAGTCATACATTATGTCCAGCATCATCATATTGTCCAAGGCCAGCTTATCAACTTTATATACCGTTAATACAAAAACAACAACAACAAAAACAACAGTATCAACAGTTAATTGATGAAAATCAGAATTTACATCATCAACAAAAAAATAAACATTTACCAAAACGAATACGTACTTATTCAGGTCGACCTTTTATTCATCCAAATCAAACAACAACTGGTCGAATACGTTCATATTCAGGTCCTGAAGCATCTTTACAATCACCATCTGGACATCTTGATGGTATTCATTGTTTAACAAGAATTATGGTTGATATATTACGACAAATTAATAAAACATCAAACGAACAACAACAAAAATCTCAAACAATATCATCTTCCGATTTGACTTCATATGCATTTGTGAAGAATAAATATCAACAGCCTCGATATCATTACATTAGACAAAATTTAAAAACCAAAGAACAACGTCGAAAATCTAGTGAAGCAAAAAAAGTCCTTGCTGATAAGAGTATGTCTACAAAAGCTTCATCATTATTGCCATCATCGGTCGATAAAGCAGCAGGTATTTTTATATTGATTAGTTTATTTCTGCTTCAGCTACCCAGGTTTAAGGTAAAAATAAGGAGAATAGTAAGAAAAAAGAGCGAAAAAAAATGCCTTTTTAATGAAGATGTATTAACCTACAAAAAAAACTCGTTTGTTCTGTCGCGTCTTAATTTTTTTTGTAGATGATGATGATGATGATTAATAACAATAGTTAAACGAGAAAAAAAAAACCTGCTGCACGCCAATAAATCGATAAACATATATAGTGCTTGACGATTAGAATATATTATTGATGTAAAAATATAATTTTCTTTTTCCTTTTTTTTTTTTTTGCATTACTATGAAGCAGACCAATAACGAAAAACAAGTTAAAAATACATGTTTCATTGCATGTATAGAAACACTTAAAAAAAATCAGTGACATCCAGGCATTGACTAACGATCTTATTACATATTATGCCCTAGATAAATCTGTACAATTTATTTCTTTTTTTGGAAAGAATCAAATTTCATTATTTATATAAAAGAAAAAAAAAACGTTTAATCAGTGAACATGCATAGATTAAGAATACAGACAATAACAAAAAAAAGTAATCTTTGTATATCTAACTTAATTGGACTTCGTATATGTGTAGATTTGTATACGCAATAAGAGACGATTGTTGACAGATAGAATCCACCCTCTCCCCCTTTTTCTTCCAAACTCTTATGTAAAGTTGTTCTTTTGTCAATGAGAAATGAATATTGATGAGAGACAGCTTTGTTATTTGATTGTGTCATCAATCGCAAGTATATTTTGTTTATGACGATTGTCTTTAAAAAAAGAAACTTCTATAATGACAATAAATACTGTATATTCAACTGTCAATATTGTATGATTACTGTAGTGAAATACTTTGCAATTGGATATTAAATCAAAGACATAAAGACGTTGAAAAATGTGATACACTCAATAAAAAAAGCATTGAAGCGTGTAGTAAGATGTTATTCTTCATGCAACTAAAGGTGTCTATACAATAGCTTGTCATTTGTAATTTTAGCTGACGGATTTTTACCTTTCAATAATGTCATTTTTTCTTCAGTTCGCTAAATGGTTACGTAACATATATCATACTTATTAGCGAAATATGAAAATGATACATATCTTTTTTTTTTTACATTTTTTATAAAAATAAAAGTAACTATTTAATGATAAAAATCATTAGATGTTTGCATATGTATGTAGACATAAAATCAATTTCATTCATATGATGATTCAAATATTTTTATCAATGATCAAATGAATATTCTGATATAGATCTCTTTCGCCTTTTTTTTTTCTTTTTCAATCAGACCATGGCTCATATAGATAGATAATAAATGAAAAAAAAAACAGTTAATAAAAAATAATATTCATATCTTTTTTTTTTCCAATTGTAGCTGTGTCTAATGAGAATGAAGCTGTATCGACAAATCTTCATAATAATCAATCAAAACAAATATGCCCATTGATTTCAAATGATAGAAACGAAACAAATACAATAAATACCGATTCAACATTTTCTTCATGTAATAAACAATTTTATGATATTAACAACGAAGACGAGTCAATAAAAACCATCTCTAATACTGTTCCAGGTACGCCTGCTGTTCGAGAAGTTAATTGAATTGACACTACTAACCCATACATATGTACACATATATATATATATATAAAGCACTTTTTTTTTCTTTTTACTAACTTTTGGACAAATTATACTAATTAACATTAAAACTAACTCGAGTGACAAAACTGATAATAAAAAAATAAAAGCATAGTTTTTTTTTTTACTTTTATTTCTTTAGCGTCTGCCAACATTCTTCGGTTTTATATTTTTAGTTTTTTTTTCTTTTTCTTGCTCTTTTATTTTACTATCTTAAAACATTTTTATTTGGCGTATGCATATTTGTCTGCGCTTGCTGTATTTTTTTTTTTATTCTTTTCTCTTATTCAGAAGCTTCCATTGAAAACGAAGAAAAAGAAAGATCTGGTAATCGAAGCCAACGTATGGTGAAAAAACTCGAAAATGAAGAACAACAAAAGCAACACCAGCAAAATTCTACATTTTCATCGTCATCTTCTTCGTCAGCGCCAAGTAAATATTTTAAATACTCATTATTAAAAAAAAAAAAAACGAAAAAACAAATAGAAATTCTAGAAAAAATAAATAATGTATCCGACATCATTGATGACAAAAATGACGTTTGTAGTAATAGGAGACCTTCAAGCATAGATGCTCTTCATAGAAATATTGATGACGGTGTGATGAGAAAAAACAAAGAAAAAAAAGGAAATCTACGAATAGAGCAGAAGAAAATTGGGTAATGCAGAAAGAAAGAAAAATGCGACGAAGAAAATATGTACAATAATTATGAAGGACGAAGAAAAGACAAAGACATGAAAAAATCATTACTTTTTAGTAGACCAAATCCAGACCCTCGTAGCGATGGTACGAATATGACGATAATAGCAAACAAAAAAAAAAAAAAAAAAAAAAAGAAAAAATATAAATACTAATTATGATTTTTTTTTCTTTTTCCTGATATCATTACCCCCACTTATATTCGTATTAATATTAACAAAGGCATAGAAAAAAAAATATTGATTTATTAAAAGGGGAAAACACGACAACATCATTGTTGATGATGAATCGGCAAGAGAAATGTGTACCACAATCTCTTATGCCGGTTGTCAATGACACTAGTAGCATGTCTGCTGCATCTACTCATGGTATTACAACAACTTCTATCAGTTATAATAACAACAACAAGAAGCAGGATGAGCAGTATGCAGATGCTATGTCGAGTGATGATGAAAGAGCAGTAATGGCGACGGCAAATGTCGACGATGTGGGCGAAAATCAGAGAGATGGAGAAAAAGGTGAAAGAGAAAAAAGAGAAGACAGCATTAGAAGAACGCTAGCGTCGACGACGGCGAAAAAGCAAGAAAAAACAGAAGAGAGAGAAAGAGCAAAGCAACCAAATAAATATATTGATTCAGTTACTTCGTTTACAAGCGAGCAGCACAGTTGCCCGAGCGTCGTCCGCCTTAGTGTTGACGACTCAATGGCGAACCGTGTCTCGTCGTCGTCGTCTTCATACAATAGAAATAATCATCGTCAAAATATTTCATCGTCAAATAATCGTTCAAGTCGTTCGACACATACAACACATACATATGCATCTACAAATACCTTTAATACAGAACCAACATATACTACAACACCAATAACAGGTGATCCTCAAACTCTTCATTCATGTTATGTAACATCATCAAATTATCATCCGCCACCACCACCAACGAGTCCAACAAATTCATTAACTCGTCATTATCGCGAATATGAACCATCATATCCGTCAATAACACGTTATCGTACACCATCATCTTCATCACCTTTTCGTAAAACTCATTATTTAGATGATTCCGATGAAGAAATAATTAATGAAGAAATACTTGAAATAACTGATCTTAATCATTATCCAACATTAATTGAACGTTGGGGTGATGATACTAAAACAATAGTTCGACAAGAAGGTGAATTTAAATTTGAAGATTTTGTTGAATTTGAAGAAACTGAACCAACTGTTGTTGAAGAAATTCTTTATGAACTTGTTTATTCTGGTGATAAATTAAAAACATGTCGACAAATTGATCGTTCACGTTCTGAATCAAGAAATTTTCGTAAAATAAAAAAACGTCGTACAAAACGAAAACGTCAACTACTTGATGGTTCATCTTATTTAACATCACAACCTAGTTCAAGAGATACAAGTGGTACACGTTCACCATATTATAATGATTATCGATATAGTCCTGAGCGTTCAAGTACACCAACACAATCATCGACATTGTCATCATCATGGCAATCAACTGGATTTATTCCTAATGATAAATCATCACTTGATATATCTATACGCAATCGTTTAGATGATCAAAATTATGTTAATTATATACGTGTCAATGAAACAGATCCATTTCGTTCGCATACTCAAGTTCAATATTATCCACAAACCCGGATAACAAATCATCTTCAGTATAATACATTTCAAACAGATTTAGGTAATAGACAAAATAAACATTTTTATGATAATATATATGATCTACCAACTACAAATGATAATACTTTACATAATATAGAAGAATATATACCTGTTATTAGTGAAGAACGAGGAATAACAAAAATAAATTTAACACCAACAAATTATGATTATGCAAATGAAAATTTATTAATGAAAAATAAAATTGATACAAATAAAGATACATATGATATTAGTTCTTTGGATGATTTGTTAACTTCTACTAGAACAACAGACAATAAAGAACAATCAAGGACAAATATAATCGATCAAACATCTGTCCAGAAAGAAATCAACAACCGTAAGTTATTATTCTTGCTCTTTTTTTTTCTCATAAAAGATCACATAACATAAGCATATGTCTGTTGGAAAAAAAATTATTAAGACATAAGACATTGAAATTAATCATGTTAACATTATAGAAACAAAAGAAGATTTCATAATCTTAACACTTGAGAATGTATTGAACTTTACGAAATGTCAAGATTTTTTTTTAATATGAAAATTATTTACATATTAGTTATCATATCACGAGTAGAAAAAAAACCATAAATATTGATAATTAATTGCTTTTTTTTTCTTCAAGGTGAGCCATATCATTCTGCTAATATAGAAAAACAAATCAATAAAATAACGGCATCAAAATATGATGAATTAGAAAAAGAAGATGAAGAACACTCAAGTACAACAGAACCAACAATACGAGAAATTATGAAAGATGATGAAACAGCAGGAAAAGATACTGATGAAGACGCATCATTTTCTGATAGTGAACAAATACCATCACAATCTTTTATGTCAGATGAACAAAACCAATCATTAAATTTAATAAAAACAACCGAAGAAGAATCTCATCCATCATACTTATTATCAACAAATGAAAAACAAGATGATCATGAAACTATATCTACAACAACAACAACAGCAACAGACTCATCAATCAATAGAATAAATGAATTGGAAACACAATTACCAACGTCAGATTCAATAGAGAAATTATCTGAGACGACTATTGATCGAGAAGTAAAAATTTTTTTTTCTGTTTTTCAAAAATTCCTTTTTTCAACATTTTACTTTTGTTATTGTTTTTTTAGCAAATTAAACCAATGCAAACACTTGAAACTTCTTCTATTGAACATGTTACACAACAACTACTACCTGAATATTTAATTGAAACAAAAGAGTAAATAAAAGAAAAAGAATTTTAAAAGATGAAAATTATTTTATTGTATATTTCAATTATTTAGAACTTCATTAGAAAAAACTCCTGAAACATCTATACCAACAAATATTTCTGATGAGAAAAAACAATCATTATTCAAAGATCAGACAAGTAGTGAAAATGATGAAGAACTTCGATCAATGTTAAATTCAATAACAGCTCATCTTATGCCAGAATTACCACGATATGATGATGAAACTGAAGATGAACAATCATTATTGTCTGAACCAAAATCATCTGAAGAACCAATATCACAAGATGATCAAAGTGTCGATTCTATTGTACAAAAATCAATTGAAGACGCAAAAGAATTATGGACACAATCCCATGATCAAATTGGTACAGTTGATCAAACAAAGTAAATTTTACATACCTTTCTTGCTATAAGATTAAACCTCTAGCTCAAATTCAGATAGTGAAAATTGATAGTAGATTTTTCTATATAATGTATTCTATACCAAGATTTCTAAAAAATACGAATTCAATAGTTTTTAGATTCCACAAGCTAGTTTTTAACAGTGTCTTTTTTTAGATAATAAAATGAGGGGTCGTCAATATTCTATGACCTTCCCTTGAAAATTTTAAAGTATCATAAAAAAATGAAATTAATCGAAAACTCCACTAAAAAAACAAACGTTTTTTTATTCAATTTTTGTAATACTTGTAACTTTTTAATAGAAGGTTGTAGAAAATGCAGCAACGTCCCATTTTTATTCTCTTTAAAATAACGTCCTTAAAAAAATAGCTTCGGGACTCTGAAAACTAACGTCTCCAATTTTTTAGAAACCTTACCATTATAGGTC